TTTCTTAAATTAAACTCAGTGGAGGGATTTAGCAGAAGATTGGATACAGAAAAGAGACAAAATTAGTGATTAGCTAACTAGAAGACATACAAATCTATAGAAAATATCCAAGTACAGAAATTTTAAAAATGGAAAAATCCAGAAAAGCATATAAGGAATTTGTGAGAAACAGCCAAAAGGTCTCATTTTGGGGGATGGCAGAAAAAATTTTTGAAGAGATAATGGCTAAGGATTTTACAAAATGAATAAAAGACATCAACTCACAAATTCAAGAAACTCTGAAAACGCCAACAGCAAAACAAAAACAATAAAAAAACAAAAACACCTGGACTCATTACTGTATAACTGCTAACAGAAAAATATTAGAAGTAGTCAGAGCTGCAACCAAACCTCAAGCTATAAACTTTGAAAAATGACAGCTGATCAATCAATCACCCTAAATTTCTGGTGTGGTGGGGGCAGAATTAAAAAAAATCTCAATATCCGTCAATCCCCACATGCAATATTGCTTTCTGTTGAAGAAACTTAAAAGTTGGAAAAAGCATCTAAGTGTTATAAATCACTGAAGGGATGAAAACACTGTAAAGGATTTATTATGAAAGAGTAAAAGGGAAGGAGAAACCAGGAAATTCTGACTGCACAGAAGCCGCTTTTGGCTTCAGGGCATTTGCAGATCCCAGAGAACCAAATGCTCAGGTTTGACAACATCAACATGTGAAAGGGACAGAAACAAAGTCTGGAGTCCACATGGCATGGAGTTTCTAACGGAAGTCCAGACCATGACCATCACATCTTCACAATGAGAATAAAGGGGAGGGGATTATGCTGGCCTATAATCGCATTCCCAGTCACACACCTGTGTGGCTCCAGGTTCTCTCACACCCTGACCATGTTTTAAAATGTTCCCTGATGGACTGTGCCCTCAGGCACCTTGATTTTTGTAAACAGAAATCTTTGCCAAAAGCTAGTGCCTTCACTGCAGGTCTAAATTTCACCCATAAATAATGTTTTTCAAATATAAGTGAGTACACAGTGAAAAAAACCCAAACGAATGAAAAAACAGCCAAATAACCTTTGTGAATAGGGTATGGAAAGGGAAAAATAGTGATTTTATAGTGGAGAAGCCTACAAACACCACTTTAACCAAACGCTCAAGGACAACAGCCATGGTTACAAGTCAGGTTGACATCTCCCCTGATATGATGTGATGAGAGGGGACTTCACCCCTGTAGTATTCTTTCATAAAATCCATAACCCCAGTCTAATTATGAGAAAAACATCAAGATGAACCCAAATTGAAAGACATTCTACAAAATGCCTGAACAGTACTCTTCAAATTACCAAGGTCATGAAAAACAAGGAAAGACTGAGAAGCCGTCACAGACCAGATAGAACAGGTGACAGGATGGCTGAAGGCAATGTGGCCCTGATTGAATTCTGGAACAGAGTGAGGACTGTAGTGGAAGAACTGGTGAAATTAAAAATGTGGGTGGTTTAGTGAACAGTGAGGTGCCAATGTTGGATTTTTAGGTTTGACAAACGTCCTACAACAGCGTAAGAGGATAACGTTACAGGAAGTGAAACTGGGTTGTAGTTACAGAAACTTCTGTACTATCTTTGCAACTTTTCTGTAAATATAAAATTATTCCAAAATAATAGTTTATTTTAAAAAATCTTTGATAGAGAGAATAGTAGAAACGATAGAAAATAAGATCAAGAACACCTCATACCTTGAACATGTCACATGCCAACTATGAAACCTCATTAATCTGTGTGAGTTTTTCTATTGAGAACGGAAACGTACAGCAAACATCACCCACCCCTGTGCAATGAGAGGAGCTGCCCCTGTGGGATTGGGCTCAACACGCAGACGATCACTGTCACTATCTGTATTCGTCTTAATACTGGAAATCCGGGCCAACGCAGTAAGGCAAGAAAAAGTACTAATAAGTGTAAGGATTAGAGGTAAAGAAACAAAACTGTCATTATGTATATAACGTGTAAATTCATATATGTATATATGCATATATATCTTCGTATAAATCATTAGAATTTTTTAAAATTTGGCAAAGTTTCAATTTATTTCTATATCTTAGTAACAAGTATCTAGAAAGTTGATTTTAAATTATGTAGATTTGATTACATAAAGATATCAAGTATCCATGAATAAATCTAGCAGAAGTATATGTCCTCTAAGGAGAAAAATGTTTCAATAGAAAATATTTTTAATTAATAACATACACATACCATATTAATGAGATAGAAGACACAACAGTATAAAGATGTCAGCATTCTTTAAATTGATCTATAGATTGAGTGGAATCCCAAGCAAGATCCCAAAATGGTTTCTGACAAGCTGATGTGAAGATGCAAAGGGCCAAGACACTTTGAAAAAGAAAAGGATGGGAAGATTTACTCTATCTGATATCAAGAATTCATATGAAACCATAGTCACTATGACAGTGTCATACGACACAAGGAGAGGTCCTCATAGGTCAATGGCAGAGAAGAGAGAGCACAGAAACAGACCCTGCATATAATGGCCACTTGGGTAAAGGGTGGCACTGCAAGTCAGTGGGGAGAAGGATGGTTAACCAAACAATGGTGCCTTCTGAAAAACTGATAAGGATAATGATAGATCAAACTGTAGATGAGCTGGGAAGCAATTCAGTGTCAGATAACACAGAAAATGTGAAATATAATTCACCCAGATGCAGACTGTGCAAACCAGAGGTGAGGGGAGAGCTGCCCAGGTCAAACATAGTGAAATGGGCAGCAAAACCTTGGCAAGAAAGTGAAAAAGGAAGTAAAGCAACACAGAAACCAAACTGCAGACAGAATCAATCTAAAGGAATAACCCAGAGGATGAAGAAGACATCCCCAAAGCACTTACATTGCACTAAAACCTAAATAAATAAAGCAACAGGTTGATATAATAACAAAACGTGGTTTAAAGTCGAGCTTGCAGAGCTGTCTAAGCAAATTAAGGCCCTCCCCTCAAAAATAAATGCAATCAACTTAAAAACAATTGGAAATAAGAAGAAATCAAAAACTACTAAAAATTAAATAATCATCGTAGAAGAAAGGTTTGAGACAACCACTGTGAACAGAAAGTAAAAATTTAAAGAGATGAAAGCATTAGGTACAGATAAAGCTCTGAAGGCTAAAGCTGCTCCAATGGAAGAATAGTTTTGCCCCCAAATTTAAAAATAATACATTTTTGAAGATATGGAAGAAGAAACTTAGCTGAAGTGAAGGTGGAATTGAATCTGTCACCTTAAGGACACAGGACTATGGTTAAAGACAGCGTGCATGGAATTCACAGTAACTTTCAGCAGCATTTTAATTATTCATAATAACAAGGGTGCATGTATCTCATAAAATCAATGCCTTCATAAGTCTATACTCTCACTTATAAGCTTTAATAAACTAGAAGTCACCATAAACAAAGAGACAAGGAAAGTGTATCTATAACTTTTAGAGTATTTAGCAAACTCTCCCTTATCATCTGAGAAAGGACAATCATCTCAACTGATAACATTGGCCAAAAATAAACCAGCAAACAATTCATAAAAGAGGCAATTTCAATGGCCAATAGACACAATAAACTGTTCTCCTCCCATGTAATCAGACAATACAAATGAACTAAGTGCCTCTCTTTATCCAGCACCTTTGCAAAAATGGGAATTGGGAGATGGTTCATCTCATTGTTAGAAGAATATATTGGTTCAGCTACTCAGAAAGGCAGCCTGGCAGATTTATAAACAAGTTAGTATTAGTACCTTTTGCCTCAGCAATTTCAGTTTTTTGGTTAGTGACTTAAGACAAATACTTGTATATATGCAAAAAAAAAAAAAGAGAAATATATGAATGTTGTTATCACAGCTTGTTGGTAAAAGTGAACAATTGAAAATGACCTGCCTGTGAATGGGAGCGAATGGTTTAAAAATTATGGTATATTGATTCCATGGAGTAGTATGCAGCTGTTAAAAAGAATGCAGATCTATGTTTATTACAGTGAGAAGTTCTCTGATATTCTTACTATTAAAATAAGTAAAAATGCAAAATGGCATATAGAATATAATCCCATTTTTAAAAACACAAGATGCAAATTGTGTATTTAGGAAAATAAGTTATACGTGTAAATGCATAGAAAAAGATAAGGAAGGCCATGTCACAACCCTCAACAGGACCAGGATTGGAAGCTGCTGGGTGTGGGTGGTGAATGGGACTTTTTCCCTCTAAATACTTTATGTTGTTTGAAATTTCATGAACAAGAATCTAAAATGTAATTTTTTGTAATAAAAAATGTTTTTAAATTAAACATATTAAGTAATGTTATTTCTGAGTCACTACTAGAGAAAAGAATTTCTACCCTTTTCCTTGTCAGACGTATAACCCAGAGAACAAAATCAAAGTAAAAATAAAAACATTCAGCCTGCACTAGTCTTTCCCATCTTAATCCTTTCTCTTTCTTTTACTCTTTTGATCCAGATCAGTGCAGGGAGAACTCAGACCCACGGCCAGAGATGGGACTAGGCCGGAGCTGACCCGTCCCCAGGTCACACATGAGACCACAGCCCTCAGTGTTTGCAAACAACTCATGTGTTTATCCTAAATTTTATGTTTTCTAAAGTACCTTCTTTGAAACAACCTAGGTGAAGGTGCAGGAGGCCTGAGGGAAATGAGGAGGTTCAGAGGTCACAGGAAATAACAATCGCTGCCTCAAACCGTCAGACAGGACAGCGGACTCCAGACGGTCCTGCCAGCTGAGCAGTGGTTGTAAAACAAGAGTCATGTGGGGGTGGAACGCTGGACGCACACCAGCAGCTGTCCTGCTGCAGTTTAAAAACCGGATTTCTCACTACATATTCCTGCATTTCATTACATTGCATGCGAGTGTTCTTATCTAAGGTTAAGGTTTTGATGAGTATCTAATAACAGCCCCTAAAGCAGCAACATGGCCAGAGAGAAAGTTAAAGGAAGAGAGAGAGACTGACCTGGTGCTGAGGTGGTTGCTCCCACAGGCCATCTTCCCGGCCTGGGCCCTGCCGGGGCCTGGAGCCTAGGCCTCTGATCCCTCGCGTGTCCCCTGCCTGGATCCAGTGTGGCCCGAGTCCTGAGCAGGAAGTCTGTGAACCGTTTAACTCAGAAATGGCTCCACCCAAATGAGGAAAAGAAAGTGAAAGTAACTTTCCCAGTGCTGTCAGACGCTGTCTCCCTCCTCCTGCAGCTCCTGGGTGGGTCAGAGCCATCATGAGATGTGGCAGCAGGAATGGAGGACAAAGAGTGATGGTCAGAGCCTGGAGGCCAGGGGAGGAGGACCCTGAGGAGGAGCACGACCAGCTCCCAGGAGTCCCCTTGTTTGTGCAGACACCACCAATAGGGAAGTAGCCGGAGCTACTGGGCCTGGAGACCTGGGAAGCAGGAGAGGCAGTGACTGAGGAGGGACAAGGAGCAGAGGACGCACCAAGGGGACCGGCGTCCTAAGCTTCAGCAGGAGCAGCCTCCATTCAGACTTCACTAGTGGGGCCGAGTCTCCAACCTGGGAGGCCCTGTGGGGACAGAGGTTTGTTCTGAGACGAAGCAGCAGCATCCTGGACCTGGACCTGAGGATTCAAGGGCAGGAGGAAGCGGCAGCAGCAGCACTGGCCACTGGGCCAGAGGATGAAACCCTCAGCCCCTCTGTGGGTGCAGAAATGGAGAGGGAGCGGGCGCCTGGGACCTAAGGGGGACACTCAGGTCCTCACCAATGTCCCACTCCAAAAGTTGGCCCAGCAATCACTGCCTGGTCCCCCTGCCGCCTCCTTTCTTTTTGGGGAGGCTCTCAGATTGGGGGTACAGTGGAAGGGTGAGTCTACTCCTTGTGGGTCTCCTGGGCTCATCCCGCCTGCAGAGGCCAGGGCTCTGTGCTCCTCCAAGCTCAAGTATATGTGGTGGGGAGAGCGGGGAGGAGGTTGATTGGAGCAGCCTGAGGCATTGTGGCAAAGCCCAATTCTGGGGTTCAGATTTAGGGATCAATTTTTTGCTGCATACCTATGCTATGCCCCTGCTCCAGCTTTTACCAGGAACAAAGCTGGTATTTGAACCCCATCTGCCTCTCCTTTGGCCTGTCTGTCGGTTTGGAACTCAACTGGGGGAAATGGATGCACTTTTGGAGGGCCCGCTGACACCTTAAAAGGGGTCAAGCACTTGGGAATATGTCTGTCTCCTCGAGTTCTCGTCCACCTGTGCCCCAGATGGGTAAAGGGATCAGACCCCCTGTAATTACATGGTGCAATTATCCCATGTGTTGCCTCGACTACACTCGGTGGCAATATTTTGGCTTTTAGGGACTGGGGTGAAGCAGAGTCCTCTTGTCTCCCTTAGTAGAACCTCAGTGACTGGGCTCAGGAGGACTGCTAGAGCTGTGGACTCCTGAGGATTTTTACCAAGTTTGTAAGAAGCCAGAGGGATTGTTGGAGGTGAAATGTGATTATTTTTACAGCGCAGGGAGTGAATTCTTGGAAAAAGGGGTGGGAAGAGGCATCTGGCAGAGGAGGATGAGGTTCAAGTGTGAGGGCTGTGAGGAGTGAGGAAGAGAAGGGAACCATTGGGCAGCACGGGAAGTCCACCCGGGCCACTTTCAGGAGGTCTAGGGGCTATGCCTGAGAAACACCCCTGAGGAAGGCCACAGTCCTTGTGCTGCCCAAGAAGGAAAGAGGCTGGCCCAGGGCCACACGACCGATCCTGACCCGCAGTTGCCACCATCACCCATAGCCCTTCAGCGGGAGCCCTGGGCTCCACCTCTGGGAGGCTGGCGAACAGCACCCACAACTGAACAAGGACTGGTTTCCCCGGTACCTTGGTTACTGCTGGACAGCACCGCACTCCCTGCGACCTACTGAAACCACCTTCTCTCCCATGGCCATCCAGCTCCAGGCACACAGTGTGGATACAAAGCAAAGAAGGAATCTGTTACTGCTGTCACCTTTGTAGCACCCGTGGGTCCCCATCACCGCAGGCTGAGGAGCCCTTGCCTCTCCAACTTGGCTCCAGCTACGCCTGCACTCCCCTCTAGTGGTCATTCGTGGTATTGCAGCCTCCTTAGAACTGGGTTTTGTTGCCTGTTCAGAGAAACTGAAACAACCCCTCGCCTCTCAAGATGGTAGATATCTGAAACCCCTCAAAAAGTAGTAATAGAAGCGCCATCATTTCCTTCTAAATAAAGGCGAACCGACTTAAGGATTGAGTTCTGAGATAGTTTTGATATTTGGCAGTTCAAAATGAGCTTATGACCTGGGCTGAGAAACCTGGGTTTAAAATGGAGACTGGGGCCCCTCCCATCCCCTCGGAGCCCCTCTGTTTCCCAGAGAGCTTCGTTTTGGCCCAGAGCCCCAAGGCGGCCCTGCCTCCTCCACCCTACTGGAGACAGAACTGCTCGCTCACACCTGCCCTCCTGGGCCTGAGGCTTGTATTCCTGGAGTGCACAGCAGGGACTCATCACGAGGTCCCTCTCAGGCACGTTGGTTTTACTCAATAGTGAGTAATTTAAAGCAATTAAAAGTATAAACAAGGGCCAGCCGAGTGGCATGTTGGTTAAGAGCTGGCTTGGGACGCCAGAGGGCCCTGGTTCGGATCCCACATATGAGGGCCAGTGACACTGTCCTCTACAGCTAAGATGCTGAACAGCAGCACGACCTGGAGCTGGGCTGCCCTGAGTCACTGGCTATGGCAGGTGTGTTGCCATGGGCTACCGTGTGTAGCCAGCAGCCAGCATGAGCTGTCAGCAGAGGCTGTGAGCTGCTGTCCAGAAGCCGGCGACTGATCTGCCTCTCCAGGGAAGAGCGCAATGATGGTGCCAACTTGGACCAGTGAAGCAACATCCTCCACAACTAGACTGAAGAACAAAAGGACAGCAATTTGTCTGTTCCCCTTCCCCCAGTTCCCCAATAAAAATCTTAAAAAAA